ACAAGACTGACGGATAAGAGGTAAGGATGGTTGGGTGGTTGAGGAGAGAGATTATATATATATATATATAAATTGAATAAATTGAAGGAAAAATGGATAACTTCATAAAATTTCAGAGCCCCGTGCTAGGAACCGGTCATTTCAGCCCAGATTGACTCGGTCGCCTGTCGGCTTGCGGAGACACCTGAAGGTTGGGGCTTTTCAGAAGAGCACAATTCAGGCCAATCCGCCTGTTCGGAAAATGATGCTCAAAAAAGTATACTTGAAAGAATAAGGGCAAACGCGACATTACAGAAGTCTGGAAGACAGGTGAGGAGAATACATTAAAATATATAGTAAAGCTGGCAGTGCTTGCAGTGACAATAGTAACGATAAGGACGACGGCTCTGCCAACACCGACGGCAGGGAAGAAGGCAATAGGTACGGAAAAGCTGGTGACACTGACGAGATTGCTGGGGACCCGAGGTTATAGGCAACAATGGCTACATAGCTGATTATAAATAAAGGATGGTCAGTGCGAGGATAACGTTATTTTATGGTTCCGGCCCGTAATTTGCATTGGTAATAATGTGAAATGATGCGAGAAGAATTGCGGACAACAGTGTGTGAATGTGAAGAAAGAGGGCTCTACATTTTGAGAATGAGGAGAGAGCCACAACGAAAAGTCGACTTGGGGCTTGGTAAATGCATTGGCCTAAAGGGAGATAAAAGACATCTGCCTGCATTTCTGCAAGTGAAGGCCGTTGATAATCACGAAGGTACTTTTATTTTTGCGACGAACAACATGATTCACCTACCTCCTAGATGGGTATTGGACTTTGGAAAAAAAGGGCCAGTTAAAATTTTTATTGCAAGACAAAAAGTTTTTTTCAGCGTTACTATTATCTTCCCGATGCGTCTCAGAAGACCATGGAGATTTACCGGGACGGAGTAATATACTTAATAAAATACAATCTCTGATGTAAAAAGATCCACATGTCACCCGAAGAATAAATTAGACCGGAATTTTAGGGCAAGAGCGACTAAAGAGAATGAGGGAAACTTTTCAACAGATGCTAGACACATGTAATTACAAATAAATAACATGAGTTATCTTAAATAAAGTTGTCAATGAGCTGTTTTATATGAATAAACTAATATTCCTCTTGATATATAACTTCATACCTACCCATCCGTCCATACACCTGTCTATCTATCGCGATAGCTAGCAATTTCCCTTTCCTATTATCTTTCTCTTAGTCTATTAATTTGGTTCTTTTTAACTTCTCGGCTCTAATCGAGGATTTTCTTGAAGTGCTTTGCGAAATCAAAAACTTCGTTAACAAAATAAAATATTTAAGAAAGTTGATGTGTTTTTGAGGACCATGCCCATTTCCGAATCAAGTCTTATAAATGTAAATGAAGACAGCTAAATTATGTAGAAAGTTAATGAAACATTTCAGCAGGCAAAAATATTACGTGCAAACTAGTTGCCATTTATCGAAAATATTGAAAAATCCGGAACAGTTTCTGATTAAGGACTGATACAACACAATTCGCTTCGAAATATTTCACTAATAGCTTGTGTGCTATTGAGCCAAGGGCATTCTTGGCATTGTGGCTGAGTGGTTACCGTGTCAACCTTACATGCAGCACTATTACGGTTCGATTTCTGCTGGGGGGTGGGGTTGATAAGACCTGGGCGAGGTCGAAACT